CCAAGATGTTGTAGGGTGAAACCCTAGAGGGGGATCTTTTCACACTTGGAGGGGAAAAAGAGCAAGAACACAAGAACACTAGAGGGGAAACACCCAAACAAACCACAATCACACATCCACTAGAGTAGCATACATGAGATCCACAAGCATACAAGAAAAATTCAAGGAAAATAGCACTAGGGTAAAAGTTCTTCCCACTAGGCGAGGTCTTGATGTCCATAAGAGGATCTTCTCCAAGCGGAGGGCTTGATCTCCAAGAGGAGCTTCTCCAAGAGGAGGTCTAGATCTCCAAGAGGAGGAAGATGAGCAAAGCTCTCTCTTTGTCTATGTAATACTTTGCTAGCCTCACAAATGAACTAGGGAAAGAGTTTATATAGGCTAGGGACGAAATTGGGGAAAAGAGGCGTACAAGGGTCCATTTTAACCCTAAAATGCACAGGCAAGTCGGAGGGGTCCGGGCACTCGAGGTAAAGGGGCCCGGGCACCCGGAGGAGGGCGCGGTCGGACGTGGCCGACCACCCGGGGCCGAAGGACCGGGCACCTGGGCCAGTCAGGGGCGCCGCAGCCTGGCGGATGATGGGACCGGGCACCCGAGGACGATGGCCCGGGCACCCGGGGTGGAGACTGGAGGCAAGGTCGGGCACCTAGGCCAAAGGCCGGGCACCCGGGGTGTAGCCCAGGCAGCGGCTGGGCGAAGGGCCGGGCACCCGGGGTGGGGCAGGGGAGTGGCCCAGGTGGTGGCCGAGCACCCGGGGCCGAGGAGGCCGGGCATCCGGGGTGTCCAGGGGAGTTGGCCCTCTCCGCGGCTGCTTGTCCGGGCACCCGGGGTGTCGAGGGGGTCCGTCCCGACGCACCCTTCTTCCTTCTTCTTCTTCGTGTTTGTCTGGGTCTCCTTCCTAGCTTCTTCATGGGCTTCTTCTTTGTACCTAAGAATGAACAATGTCTCCGTTTGAGGTAGAATCCAATTCCCGAGCGAATCTGAACGAGACTCAAAGAGGGAAAAAGTGACCTCATTATCGATGGCGCGTGCACGTGCCTTTGTCATTGGTCCCCTTGGTGTTTGTGGCGGTGACAGAGTGCCCATGGGTATGATGGAGGGATGCTCCACATCACACGCCCTGCTCCAGCTTCGCGTCCCTGCCGAGCCATCGCATCTCACACTACCATCACACGGCAGGGAGGAAGGAGCCTCACAACCACCAAAGGAGAGGGGAGGGAGGGCGGCCTGCGGGTGGGGGAGCTAGGCTTCGCCCCGACACTGCTCGAGAGGTGACACAAGCGAAGTGATTCTTTTATTTTTGAGGGGAAATAGTTCATTAATAAAGCAAAGTCTGGAATCTCATCCGCTATTACAAGTAAAATACAATCAGGTGGCACATGTCGCCACTCCTCACACACCTCCTGACCAACAACAAATTTGGCTAATATATGAGTAGCACGATTTGCCGATCTTCTTTTCCAAGTCACCTTGCATCCCTGCCAGCCATTCATGAGCCCCTTGATTTCTTCAACAACCGGCCCAACTACAGAGAGATTTTTAGTTGTGCCATCGATCATACAAACTGCTTCTCGGCGGTCCATCTTAACATGGATCCGCTGCACACCGAGCTCCCTTCCGAATTGGAGAGCTAATCTACAAGCTTTCAGCTCCACAATTTTAGGCTGTGAGCTGTTTGGGAAGAACTGAACTGCAGCACCACGAAAGGTGCCCTCGTGGTCACGCAAGACCACGCCACCATCTCCCTTTTCTGCATCTTTTGACACTGCCCTGTCCACATTAGCTAGGATCCAACCTTGCGCCGGCGGAATCCATTTCTCCGGAGATGGCTTCACAATTGGCCTAGCCTTTTTGTTAACAACTTCAAGCCATTCGTCCATAAGTCTGGAAACCAAACTCGCAATCTCGGGAGCAGCTTCTATCCGCTTACCGTCCCTAGCTGCATTTCTCGCTAGCCAAAGGCCATAAACGCCCTGAAGCATCATTTCTTTCTCCACATCCTTTGCATCAGACACCCAGTTCAACAGCCACATACCCACTGCAGAATTTGGGTCCAGACCATCAGGTGGTGCCATAGCAGGGAGTCCATGCCTATCAGCCAACTCCTTCCAGAACAGCTGCGAGTGAGGGCACGACCAGAATCGATGCATCAGCGTCTCCTCCCGGCCACAAGCGGTGCAGAAGGCTCCTGGCTTGATCCTCCTCCCGTGTAACTCTGAACCCACAACCAGGCCATTTCGCGCAAGACCCCGGGAGTGAACTTTCATTTTATTCGGTACATGGGATCCCCACGGTGCAAGCCAACTCCTATGGCACTCACAGTTGATGAAGCTTCCGGCCGTCCGGTCCTCGCTTTGCGCATGCTCATGAAGAGATGATACCCAGACCGAACCGAGTAGACACCATCTTTTGTATAATTTTAAACCATATAATCTTCGACTTTGCAGGCGGAGAGATTCTGATAGGTGTCTTTTCGTCTCCATGTGAGAACTTCTCTCATGGAGTTTTTCGTATATTTAGAATTTTTTTTATTTGGCGTGTGTCGTTGTTGGGTGCTAGATATATTTTGTTAAAGAAGAAATGCAAGTTTTCATGACATCATTTTGAGTGGGGTCTAACTTTTCACGATGGCAAGCATGAGTGTAAGCGAATCAATATGTGATTGGATGATAGGAGGACAACTGTATCCTAGCTCATCAAAGTTTAAATTCTAGACTTGACATTGATGCCCGCATTTTCCTGAATTTATTTCAGGTCTTCTAACGGTGTGCATTCAGTAAGAGGGGACGTTCTTATAGACTACGAAGGCGTCTGTGACAACTTCATTAATCTTAATATAATGAGCCGGCTCAATCTCTCGCAGGTGCTAATATGATGTGCATGTGTGCAGAGTGTACCAAAAAAATTGAAGAACCTGTGCAAATCAAAACTAGGCCATATGCGTGAAAGAAAAACAATCATTTTTTGGTCGACAACTGCAAATTTCATGGGAAATTACACCAGTTAGAAGCACAAGCTCAAAAGACCTGACAATATTGGAGATGGATACCTAAGGTGGCTTGGCATAAAAAATATTTCCAACGGTTATTTACTGTAGTATTAGTGCTTTAGTTAGTATTAATCTTGGTTAATATTGTAATAGAAGTGAGTGTATGTGCGTATGTATACTTCGTCTGTGTTAAAAAAAAGAGCGTTATTGGAATCACGATTTTTCGTCTGGATCTCATTATTTCCAACGTGGAAAGGGAAAGGAAAACAATCTTCGAACTTTATTTTTCCAGCCCTCGCCTCGCCGCGCGGCCTCCCCCCACAACTCTCTCCTCTCCCACTCTGGTCTTCGCCGCCGCCGCCGCCGCCGGCCCGGAAATCTCCATCTCGAGCTCCCTCCCCTCGATGACCGTATGAGATGTGCGGCGGCGGCACGCTCTCTCCTCCCCCTCCCACCCGCTGCGGCGCCCATCCACACCCACACCGCATCCCCTTCCCTGGCCGCCGAGCTCGCCGCCGCCGACGCCCTCCACGCGCTGCTCTCCACGCTCCCGCCCTCTCTGCCCACCCTCCTCCCCTGCCTCTCCCTCCTCTCGCCCCGCCTCACCCCGCACACCGTCTCCGATGCGCTCCTGTGGGCCGACCTCCCTGCCGCATCCCGCATCCGCCTCTTCCTCTTCTCCGCCCTCTCCCCGCGTCTCCGCTCCCCGCTGCTCCACTCCCGCGCCGTCTCCGTGCTCCTTTCCGGCGACCCCGATGCCGCAATGTTCGACGCCCTCGCCGACGCCCGCGCCGCCGGCCTCCCCGCGCCGTCCGCCGCATTCGCGGCACTCGTCACCGCGCACGCCTCAGCAGGCCGACCCCAAGAGGCCGTCGACGCCTTCTCCCGGATGGGCGACTTCGAATGCCGCCCCACCGCCTTCATCTACAACGCCGTCTTCAAGGTCCTCGTCGACAGCGGCGCGATCCTCCTAGCCCTGGCGCTCTATAATCGGATGGTCAGCGCCGGATGCCCGCCCAACAGGGCCACCTACAATGTGCTCATGGATGGGCTGTGTAAGCGGGGCATGGCGGGTGACGCCCTCAAGATGTTTGACGAAATGCTCGAGAGGGGGATCGTGCCGGACGTGAAGATCTATACTGTGTTAATTTCGTCCCTGTGCAGTGCAGGGAGGACTGAGGAAGCTGCGCGTCTCATTTGCTCCATGAAGGAGAAGGGGTGCCCACCCGACGAGGTCACATACAACGCTTTCTTGAGCGGGCTCTGCAAGGCTGGCAGGGTCGATGATGCATTTGAGCGGTTGGAGCTGCTCCGAGAAGGGGGGTTTGCACTTGGATTGAATGGGTATAGTTGTCTGATAGATGGTCTGTTCCAGGCCGGCCGGTTTGATGAGGGCTTCAGTTATTACAAGGAAATGTTGGAGAAGAATGTTAAACCAGACGTCGTCCTGTACACGATAATTATCCGTGGTTGTGCAGAGGCTGGCAGGACCGAGGATGCCTTCTCATTACTCAATGTGATGAAGGACAAAGGGTTTGTGCCTGACACTTTCTGTTACAACACACTGCTCAAGGCTTTCTGTGATGTCGGAAACCTGGATAAGGCTCAGTCATTGCGGTCAGAGATGTTGCAGAATAATGTGGCCCTGGACTCAACAACGCACAATATCATGATATATGGACTGTGCAAGAAAGGACTCATAGATGAGGCAATGCAGGTTTTTCATGAGATGGGAGAACTTGGTTGCCATCCGACGGTCATGACATACAATGCACTCATTGATGGACTCTATAGGGTCGGCAGGCTAAAGGATGCTCAGATGCTTTTTTATAAGATGGAAATGGGGAATAACCCCTCCTTGTTCCTTCGACTGACCCTTGGTGCCAACCAGGTGAGGGACAGCGAGAGCCTTCGTAAGCTGGTTGATGGTATGTGTGAATCTGGGCAGGTGCTGAAAGCATTCAAGCTTGTTCGGAGTATAATAGACAGCGGAGTTGTTCCTGATGTTGTCACATATAACACACTGTTAAATGGACTCTGTAAAGCGAAGAATCTTGACGGCGCACTGCGGCTCTTCAAAGAGCTCCAACTTAAGGGAATCTCTCCTGATGAAATCACTTATGGGACTCTAATTGATGGGCTTTGGGGGGCACACAGAGAAAATGATGCCATGATGTTGTTCCAGAGCATATTGCGGGGTCATGGTTCCCCTAGTTTGTCGATCTACAATACTATGATGAGATCACTCTGTAGGATGAAGAAATTGACGCAAGCAATCAACCTCTGGTTGGATTACTTGCCCAAAAAGTACAACCTCACACCAGAAGATGAAGTAATCGCTAATGCCCGTAACTGTTTTGAAGTAAGATCCCTGGATGAAGCAGTTAAGGAGTTAATCAAGATTGATCAAGAATACGACTCCGTTAGCTCAAACCCTTACACCATTTGGTTGATAGGGCTTTGTCAGGTAAAGAGAATTGATGATGCTCTTAGGATATTTCATACCCTTGAAGAATTTGGAATTGATGTCACACCCGCGTGCTGTGCTCTTCTTATCAATTACCTATGCTGGGACAGAAATCTAAATGCAGCAGTTGAAATCATGATGTATACATTGAGTAAACGTTTCATTGTGTCCCAAGCTGTAGGCAACCGTTTACTTAGGCGGCTTTGTATCCGTTATAGAAGGAAGGATGCACAGGCACTTGCATGGAGAATGCATCTTGTAGGATATGATATGGATGTATATCTCCGTGAGCCTACAAAAACTTTGCTATACAGTCAATAGAAATATCTGTAGTGTTGTAGGACTACAGAGCTACCCCCAGGAGGGATGCTGATGTTTTGTCCTGTATCAATTTTGTTAGGTAAAACAACAAAATAGGGTGTGATTCACTGATTTCTTACCTCTTGCAATGGATTTGTAACCCATCAGTTGAGTTGTAACTTCAATAATGCGGCAAAAAGTTTTATGTCAGCAACATGTTATACCCTCTTGTCAGCACTGTACAATAACATGCATTTACTCAGGGGAAAGCTGTGATACATTTGCACTGTTTGATTTTATTCTTCTCATCAGCATCTGGAATATGGTGCATCATAATGCAAGCAGTACGCACTGGATCAACAGAAACAATAAAAACAGGGCTCATAGCATATTTTTTGGTTCGAGTAATGCATGTTTGATTGATCTTACTGTACTTATTGAATACACATACTAACTTTTTCTGTTGTATTGTACTGCCTTTGAATTTATTTACCATCTTGTCATTCTGGAAGTGAAAAATTGGCTGGGTAGATGCTCTGCAGGTAGTACTTGACCGAACGAGGTTGTTTCCCTTGCTTGGTTATTTTATTATGCTACCGCATGACACTTACAATTAGCTTTCTTGTTTCTTTTTTCTTTGTTTCCCTTTCTGTTGGAAGCCCTGACATCATATTTTTCTCGCGAAGAAAATCTTGGAATTGGAGATATGTTCAATTAGATTGATGGTAGCTAGACAGCTAATGTTGCTACTACATAGTTGTATTATGGTTAATGATCTCAAGCACTTTGAATGGTCTAGTGAGAAGAAAGCAACTTAAGCAAAATTTGATTAATTGCAAGAAAATTACTTAGTCAGGAGTTTTATATGCCTTAATTTAACATTTTATCTAAAGTTCAGAAAAAAGTGACTTGTTCTGTTTCTCATCCTTTAACGAGAGATTTAGTTTGACTGTCAAATTTTGATAAATATGTGGATGGCATAACATAATGTCCTTGTCAACCTTTCAACCATTTGCAGCACATTCACTACAGAATACACACTTGAGAATATGAAGTAAATGAGGTTACCAGGGCGTGTCTTTGCTATTATGATACACTAAATCAGGTCAGCTGCTGCCTCTAATTCAGTTTTTAGGTCTTAGCCGCTGGCCACTGCTTGTAAAGATTTTTAGTTTGCTTGTGTGACAAATCGGGGTGTGAACTCCTATGGATCACATGGGCGATTTTGAACCCCAATCTGGTTTGGCCGATCTGGAGCGGCCTTCGAAGTTCATTCCACACAGAATTTGGTACTCCCTCCGATCCATATTACTTGTCCCTCAAACGGATGTATCTAGAGATACATCCGTTTGAGGGACAAGTAATATGGATCGGAGGGAGTAATTGTGATCCAGGTGTCCAGATTATATCATGTTAACATGTTGCTGGGTAAACCTTGACTGCGTTATGCATTGGACAGATGATTTCATGTTATTTGTGAATACCCATCGTAGCATGAATTTCATAATATATTTAAATATAAAATTCGATATATCCACTTTTCATGGAGACATGGAATAAGATAATATTTTTCCTTTTGTAGCAACCTTCAAACACATTCAAAATCTTAGGAATGATATATATGATTTTGTTATTGAAGTATTTTAATATCACACTGCATATCAAATTGCAGATCTCCTCAAGCAGTTGAGAGGTAAGTGATAGTTTGGCAAAGAGTAATTTTCTTTTTGTAGCAATCGTCAAACACATTTAAGAGCTATGGTTTTTTTGTTCCAATTCATATATGGATGCCTGTAACATAGAAATGATTAAACTAAGATGGTTTTTGTGCTTCTCTTTGTTGGTATGGGTGCACTCATATCCGAGAATTTTTCCTTGAGTGACTATGATTCCAGAATTACCACATGTTGGGTAGAAATTGTTTGCATTTCAGATATGTTCTTCCTTCTATATTGCAACCCCCTTTGCATTGTGTTAGAGTACGTAATGGGCCTAATGGGCCCATTAGTCTTAGGGTTAATTAGAGATAAGGGTCGCTTGTTTAGGGGTCAAGTAAGTCCGGCGGGGAGAAGGCAGGGTGTCATCGACAGGAGCGCACCGCATAGCACCACTGCTTTCCGACGCCGACCACCGCGAGGGCGCCTCTGTTGGTCGCTCTTGCGACCACTTCCAGGTGGCAATACACATGCACTCCTTTGGTCCAGGTGGTGTCCATGGGATCCAGGTGGCTGTACACGTGCACGTCCGACGTGCGGATGGCGTCCACTTTTTGTTAAAGGGTCCAAAATAAAGCGTCTCAGTCAATTTTAGGTTGAGAATAATAAAACAAGCCGAGATGTAAAAGGCTTGTTTTTAGGTGTTAGGTTTGTGTTGCGTCGAGTCATGGTTATAAGTTGGTTAGGCTGCAGCTCGAGGACAAGCTGCATGTCCAGGTGGGGTGTAGTGTTAGAGTACGTAATGGTCCTAATGGGCCCATTAGTCTTAGGGTCGCTTACTTAGGGGTCAAGTAAGTCTTGCTTGGGAGTCAAGTAAACCTCTCTATATAAAGAGAGGAGATGTATCAATCTAATCAAGCAAGAATTAAGAAGGAAATCCCTTCCCTCTTACCCGGCCGTGGGCAAAAAGGCCCCCGGCCAGCCCTCTCGCGCCCTCCTTCTAGCAGCGCCATAACACATTGCTACAATCATTCTCAACATGGTACTATTATCACTGTCAAGGGTATACGAGTGGCACCCGAATGAGTGAGAAGTGTTGTTCTGTCTTGTTGCACTACCAACGGTATCTAGGACACCTGTTTAATGATTGTTTCTGTCGATGCAATTTGTATTGTATCGTCCCGATGTTATTTCGGGTAATAATTTTGAATTGGTGGCAATAGTTGGTTTAGTCACTCACCCCTAGGCCCTAGCTATGCCAAGAATCAATAGTCAGCCAGTCTGTGGACGGAGATTTTTATTTTATTTTGATGTTGTTCAGGAAAACTGCAAGTGCCAGTTACAGGTAAAAGAAACACATCACTCTTTATCGAACAAGGATAAACCTGATGTGCAATCAGTACACAGATTAACATTGTCATGGAATTAGCAGGCAACATTATCTCTTAGTATAAAATGTGTGCAATCAACCCATGTTAGCTGACACTCCCAGGTTGTGATGACTGGTGAGCGGGACGTTACTTTGTACTTCCTCTGTAAACTAATATAAGAGCGTTTAGATCACTACTATCGTCTGTAAACTAATATAAGAGCGTTTAGATCACTAAAGTAGTGATCTAAACACTCTTATATTAGTTTATGGAGGGAGCAGTACACTACTGCTTCGGTTTCACCCGTGATATTCTTTTTCTTCTATTTGAACTGGCATCTTGTGATTGATGCACCAGATCAGTGTGAGACTATGATTTTTAGGCTAGTTTGCGTTTCCATTTGAGCCAAAAAGGTGTTTCTTTCTGGTTCGTAATACAAAGTATGATCTTCGCCAGAGTTACGTGTTGGCTGGTGGGATTTTCTGTTCAGGGCTGTATAATTGTATCTCTTCCTGATTATTGGTTTGATTTTTCAAACCGTAAATTATGCCATGGTGCTATTTCTTTTATTCCTCCAATCCAACAGATCAAACATCCTCTTTTGTAAACTGTTACTGCACCGGTGTTCAGAAACAAATACAGTAGATAACAACTGCCTTTGTTGCATGGTAGCTGGAATCACTGGTGGTGACTGACCAGCAGTTGACACCGTATCTGAGTTGGACAACCTGTTTGCCACAATTTTATAAGAAGCAGATTTCATCTAGAATTTGAAAACAAACACACAAAAGCCATGAGTGCGTGCATTGAAATGTTTTTCGTCGGTCATGACAGTGGAGCTGAGTATGTGACACCTGAATCAGTTTGGTTCTAGTCATCTATACACTGCGAGTTAAATGCTCACCTCAACATGGGGAGATTTGCTCTGAAACCCTGTCAAGCAGAACACAGACTGTTGAAATGCCACTACGCATGCACAATCATAATCATACGGAAGCCCTTGTCCAGAGTATCATAAGGATTAGGGTTTTTGTGTGTGTCAAATTTTACAAAGTTTGGCTCTGGAAATAGTACAATGTACATAGTAGTACTGGAAAAGACTACAATAGAAGCTGACCATAGGATAGAAGAATAGAAAAACAAATCTGGAGCATCGGATGTCCAATGGGCGCTTCAGATCAGGCACATGGGAGCTGGTGGGAGGGTCTTTATTGTATATAGCAATTACTCAGGGAGCTTTCCGCAAAAGTACACAGAAATCACCAGCCTAACATTTCAAATCTGAAGTCTCCATTAAGGATCCAACGGCTCCAACTTCATTTTTCTATTCTTCTATCCTTTGCCCAACTTCTATTGTAGTCTTTCATATGATCAAACCCAGCAGTAGCAGCTGTTGCCTTTTTGCCGGGGGAATGATTAGATTCGTGCGCACCAAGGTAGCGCTAGGGTTTCAATGGGTCAGTTGGTCTAATCAACAACCCCTTGACCACACCACACCCAATAAAAGCCTTTGAGGCCAGCAGCCCAATCAAAGTAGTAAAACCCTGACAAAAAGAGCCGTCGGAAACTTTCTCCATTTAGCAAAAACGTCAACCATGATTGCTTCCCCACTGACTCTCCTTCGTCACTAGCTATGCCTGGGAAACCAAGCATTCTTTTCTCTGTGCTCTCATTAGGTTTAATTAGTACTCCCTCCATTTTTATTTACTCTGCATATTAGTGTTGACTGAAGTCAAATTTCATAAAGTTTGATCAAGTTTATAAAAAATAATATAAACATTTATCATAACAAATCTATATGATGTGGAAGTACATTCAATAATAGATTTAATTATATTGATTTGTTATTGCTTATGTTAATATTTTTTTATATAAACTTGGTCAAAGTTTATAAAGCTTGACTTTTACTAAAACTAATACGCGGAGTAAATAAAAACGGAGGGAGTACTACTTCGGAATAAAATTGCATGATTGGATATGGCAATACTTTGTGTGC